GAGTAGCTTTATCTGTAGTAAATTGTGACCGGTGCTTACGGTGCTCGTATATCGGTGGAACGGTGAACGGTGCACCGCTACTACGGTGACCGGTCGGTACGGTGCACCGGTGGACCGGTGGCACCGGTCCTACGGTGAACCGGCGGACCGGTGAGACCGGTGAACGGTGAACCGTAGACCGATCACACCGGTGACCACCGTCACCGTTGCATCCCTAATCTGCTTTCTTCTTCAATTGATTTTTAGTAATAGAGTATAGAAAATAGCAAACTGACAATTTGTTTTTCTTATTCTTTCTCTCTCTTTTCTGGTGCGGAAGAAGATGAAATTTAAATTATCTCGACCAGTATCATCCTCTTGTTTCTTCTTCCCAGGGCTGGTCCGAGCAGGGTTTGTTGGGGTTGGGACAACCCCCCCAATATTTAAGAAAATTTCGTTTTTTACTTAACGAAAACCTTACGAAAAAACAGTTATTTCGTCATACTTAGGCATGCAACGAACCCGAACTTGAGTTCGCAGTTCGGACCGAACGGTTCGGGGTTCGGGCGGAAATTCCTATATTACAAGCTAGAGCTAATAGTAATGCAGCATAAAGAACAAACTTTTACATCCTAATTGTTTTCCATGCAATCCAGTGATAATGTGAAGGAAAGAAACAAGAGAGATTATTAATCAAGATTAAATTAATCTTGATCATCTGCATATCATGGAAAACTGTAAGTGAAAATTTATCTAAATTGAGTACGATTTTTGGATAGAAAACCATTGTATATGGTATATAAATAATGCTGTGCTATCGAAAACATAATGAATGGCATTATATCTCTCTGAAAATTTTTATTAAAAAAGCTTTTTTCACTGACTAATTTTATGTACTGTGTAATTATATCATCCAGTAAAAGGACTCTTTTCTTCAGATCGATATATTTATTGGATGATCAGAGTAGCATGTTAACTTCTGTATATAAGATAAACGAAGTCATGATTGAAAAAGCATCATGGTTTAACGCAGAAAACAGCAAATATTTCAGAAGTTTAATCTGCAAATGAAACTGCGCTTTGTTTTCAATATATTGTATAAGATTTTTCAAGAGACCTTCATGAAATAAAGTTAGATGCTGTGTAACTTATGTATATAAATTATCTTTGAGAAAAAGATTTACGTAAAAACACTATGTGAAAACTTACAACGAGAAGAAACTATAAGAATCAATTCTTCGTATTGCAGATGAGATATTCATGTACAAACATTTTACGTTCAGGCTTGCAAATAAGCATAGAGAACTAATAAAGCTTAAATAATTTCAAGAGATTAATAACTTGTCCTTTATGACATAGTAGTCAACTATATAAATTTTATTTATTTCTGATATACAAGAAAAATACTTTTTCAAAATATTCAATATGAAAAAGATAACAAAAAAACATCGTTCAAAAAACACAAAAAATAGAACTTTTTTAATACATTAAATATTGATACAGTTCTTATTTATTTTCATTTCATAGTTTATCTTTGAGAAAAACGAAAAAACCAAGATTTTCTGAAGAAAGTTGAGCTCGTTGTTTACGGCCATAATAGGCAGATATGCTAAATGCTGATTCAGATTTTGGACTGGTACTTGGAGAAGCTAAATATTTTTGCGCAAGTGGTGCCAAGTTGGGCAATAACAACTTGTTTTTCTTCCAAAATTGGAGTGAATGATATAAATTAGTTGATGTTGATACAAAGTGGCAAGCTAATTTTTTGTAAGTTTTAAATTCATCATTTAATATCTTATTTAACGTTGAAGATTGCCTTTTCACCTGTTGAGTATCATCATCAGCTAATGAATCAAGAAAATAATTGAGTAATGATTTTTTTTGATTTTTTTCTGTTGTTGATGATCCATTTGTATTTGAAGATGTTGTTGATGATGCTTGTGTTTGGCTGTTTGATATTTGTTGACGAATTATATATTTTATTTCATTTTCTATTGTGTTAATTTCATTATTTGTCATAACTGATATACCATAAGGATAGAAGTATGCATAAAACTAGAATTAAAAAAAAAACGTTTACTTACATCATTAAAAATATGTCAATAATATTCCAAGCCGCTCATCATAATTGTTTTTATTTGTGATGGATCTTTTACCATATTATGATAAATCATTTTACTTAATAAACATTCTTTCATATTATTAAATAATGGATCATCTGTTGGACTAATGTTGGATAAGAAATCTTTTTCAAGACGACGAAAAATAAAAAATGTACTTCCTATCGTCGGATAATCACTACCGCTAATTGCTTTAGTAGCTCGATAAAACGGCTTCAATATTTTAATTAATAATTCAATTATATACCAGCAATCACTTGTCAATTCTAAAGCATTTAAACGTTGTTGTTGTTTTTTTGTTATATCCAAATTTGTTTTGTTTTGAAATAATTCAATGATTATTAATCGGTGCATATTTAATGAGTATAACATCTTGTACGTTGAATTCCAACGAGTACGTACATCTAAGCATAATGAACGCTTTATTTTACTATCATTGTATTGATTATATTCATGTTTTTTTCTTTTTAATGAATGATGATAAAATTGAAGAATCTTTTATAATATCAATAAGTTGTCGAGTTTTCTGGATATAAAAAACAAAGAGAATATATTTTGGATTCTCAAAATAAAAAAAAGTCAGTAAAAATATCGATTCATGCTACAATAAAAAAACATCACTCACTTTCGACAACTAAACAAATACCTGGATTAGGTTGTCGCAATGATAAATCAGAACTTTCACTGGGATGTACATCAACACCAACTTCAAAGTTATTTTGATATGAATCATTTGTACTTTCAATATCCGATTCACTATTGATAGAAATCGAGTCGGCTTCATCTGAAAAATTACCACCATTATCACCTTGATTGATATTATTTTTATCTTCTGCTTCATCCTGAAACAAGGAAATGACAAACAAATAATTCTTATGTGAAAGTTAAATAATGCTGACCGAATCTTCACTTTCATCATCTGTTTCAGGATGTTCACCATCACTTTGAACAACATGTACTTCATTAATTAATTGTTCATCATCAATTCTATTGATTTTTTGTAAAGAATCACTGAGGCGTACTTCAGGATCATGTGGATTTGTTTCATCAGTCTTAGCCTTTGTCTTTTCTTTTCTCTCGATCCAGAGACCAAGGCCATTACAAACAATAAGATGAAGGAAGTGTGCGTGACAACGAATATGTGTTATATCAGGACGTGAAAAGTAATCGAACATTTTTATCATATTTGGTGCAGAATCACAAGTGATGCTCGTAACTTTATCAAACATCTGTAATTCTATTAACAATTGCTCCATTTCGTAGCCAATCAAATGAGAAAAGTGCCTTTTTTCAAAAGAACAAAATCGTAATATCGTTGATTTTGAATCGAAATCGTTTGTGATAAAATGACCAGTTAATACGAGAAACGATATACCTTTATTGTCGGACCAAAAATCCGTACTAATGGAGATACATAATAATTTAGACAACGAATTCACCATAATAGAAAAAATGCTTTGTATGAAGACGTTTCAACTGAGCGCTAATCGAATTACGATCTGGAGGTTTGTAACCTAAACAAGAAGCCAATAAATATAATATTTCAATCACAGCAATCAAATATTCTAACCCGGTAAAGCTAACTGAAGAAATTTTTGAAAACCCGATTTCGAAAAATCCCCAAAACTACGCCCGTCTTCAATTATTGCTGCTACTACTGCACCATCCAATTTCTTCTTTAACTTAACTGGTATACGTTGATCTGTTGAACGATTTACCAGCTTTTCCTTCGGCTTAAGTTCATCAACTTTATGAACATCACGTAAGTGTCGAATCAACGTTGATGTCGAATGCAGAGGTGTTGACAGGACTTTCGCACAATCGCTAACTAAACATTTCGCCTGTAAACCTTGATCACCATACATTCTTTCAAAATAAGCCCATACACGAGATTGTTTTCCAGACCCCATCGTTAGAGTTGATCCCTTCATTTCTGTAGTTACGCCTTCACTATTGTTCGTGGTGTTTGCGATCTAAATTGTAGAACAAAATATACATTCAAAAGACAACACACCAAATGAATTTATTTACATACTTTCATTTTAACTATGATAAAATTAAAAACAAATGAATAATGGCGTCGTAACTCTGATCGTACAGTGGCGTGAATTGATGATAAACAACAAGTTAATGAAAATTCCTAAAATAAAACAAAAAAAAATTATTTATAGTATTACATTTATTCATACGAACTTGTTCTTGATATACGAATAACTATAAATCAAGTAAAGGTTTACTAATTGTTTGATGCTGAACAACAAGTCAATGAATATTCCTAAGATGAAATAAAAAACAAATTATAGCAACTATTAGATATACTCATACGAACTTCTTGTTAGTATACGAAGAACTATAAATTAAGTAAAGATTTATCAAATGTTTGATGTTGAACAACAAGTTAATCAATATTGCTAAGATAAAATTTAAAAAAATATTTTTACTGCTACATAATTACATATGCATACGAACTTGTTGTTAATATATGAATAACTATGTATGACGTAAAGATATGTTAATTGTTTGGCGATGAACAACAAGGTAATGAATATTCATAAGATGAGAAAAAAAATCCCTTATAGTATTAGATATAGTTATAGGAAACTTGTTGTTAATATATGAATAAGTATAAATAACGTAAAGGTAGATCAATTCTTTAATGATGAACAAGAAGTTAATGAATATTCCTAAGATAAAATTAAAAGAAATATTTTTGTGCTACATGTATATGCATACGAACTTGTTGTTAGTATACGAAGAACTATAAATGACGTGAAGTTATTTTTATTGTTCGAAGATGAATAAAAGGGGTAATAATTGTGTTTGTGGAAGCGAGCAGTGATGGTCGCTTTCAAATTAATATGGAGAATGAACGGTGATATAGATAAAACATACGCTTAAATATGAGGGTGGTGGGGGGATAATTTGAAAAAATTGTATGGAATTTCAAGAAAAACACAGTAAAATTCAAATAGGTACCTTACATTGACGTACATGGTTTTCATTCTTTATCAGGTTAAAGTATCGATCATTTGTAGTCATTTTGTAGAGAAAAATTAGCTGCATCTTCTGGTTTATAAAAGTTAAGGAATCGATCAACCTATGTGCAAGTTTCCTTACTCGTAAGTTAGATAAGTCTAGATGAGAACATACGTAAATAAGAAGATCCGTCCTGATATACAATGCCTCCGTCTCAAGGAATTTAGCAAAGTCAAATTGAAGAAAAAAATGTACAGAACCGTGTAAAAATCCACGGGCTTTCTTTCTAGAACCATTTGAATATCGATTATGGGGGAACCAGGTATACGGACTTATCCGGCGATGTCCTTTACAAAATAACAGTTTACAGTACTTCTTCTTTAATGGGAGTCGACCTAATGCCTCCAAGACAGTGTATGAGATAGAACATGTTAAAATATTGAGATGAGCTCAGGAAGTTCTAGAAATTGTCATCAACCCGATTGGAAATGAAGACTTATAAGGGAGACAGTTCCTCATGAGCTTGTAAAATTTCAACTTTAATTTCCTAAATCATTTCTTCTGTGAGATTAAACAAGCCATCAGATCTGATCTCATTAGCTTCATAAAAAGTATGTCTATTGATATTTGAAACAATATTCGTCTATAAAAGAAATTAATAAATAAATAAATGAAAATCTAAGGCATGAACAGCCTATGTATTTAAAAATATACTACTGAATCACTTTGGCAAAGCAATAATGAAGTCCAAAGTTTGGATGTGACTGTAGACGAAAAGAAGATCAACATCCACATCCACATCCACACCCCACACCACAAATAATAAATAAGTTTAAAAGTGAATTTATTTATTGCAGCCCAGAAAAAAAAACATCATCAAATTGCATATTCTTGATAAATTTGAATGCAGTTTTTAAAAGCATTCAGAGATGGCATGCGGTTGTCGAACATCAAATGTCTTAACTCTTCGCAAAAACTTAAAAAGAGGTGAGAATTTCTTGACACATCCCGTAGTAGGGTCAATATTTCTTGTGAAATTCTAAGGAACGGAAAGATAGGAACTTAAAACGATTAATGAAAACAGGCAGGCAAGAATTACAATGCCAGAAAATATATTATAATGCTTTCTCTTTGTCATCAGTGCATTGTATAATAAATATTATTATTTTGTTCAGTAATTAGTTAGAAAATTAATCATGTCGATATAAAGCATATCTCAGAAGGATCGGCTTGATTTCAACGATAAAGTTTTCAGCTATATTCAATTAGCATGTCATTGAGACAGTTATCTTTACTGAGATCACACACAGTAATATCAGAGTTCTTCAAAAATGATAATATATATATAGGGACGATGTTAGCTAATGCGTACTAAGAAAAGTATTGACTTCGGAATGTGTTAGATATAACATTTTTTTCTGAACAATCATCCATTGCCATTCACATAACGATCAAACAATCATCAATTTGGTGAATTATAGCTTTCCTCGTGTATTCTTTTTTTATTAATTTTGCATTTGTTTTCAACTGCCACGTACCTGCCAATTCAATATCTAAGTATGGATTAGCTTTCCTATCTCTTGAGAAAAACAATCATGAATACGAACTATGAGTGCTATTGATTCAAGATGAAACACATCACAACATAGAGAGTCATGAGTGAATTCAATATGAATTTCTCATATGAACGAATGACAAATCTATTCATAGGGGTTTACTGCGTGTAAATTGAAGTATTTATTTCTAAAAATAAAAAAAGCAGACGATATAAAAATAGTAATTACAATAGGCTAGTTTCAAAACAAAACAAAAGTGTTCGTGGATTTGAAAAGAGGAAAAAAGCAAAAAAAGTTATGAAACATTCGTACTTGGTAGTGTAGAAGATGTTTTTCATAGTTTAAATTACAAAAAAAGGAAACATTTACGTATACGTACAAGACGAAACTATTCCAAAATTAATATTTAACGAGTCAGTCGAATGCACTTTACGATCTTTCTCATTTTCTGTGACATATTGCAGGGAGGTGGGGGGAAGTTTTTTATCAATTTAACTGAAATTGTATGGAAAACAATAGAATTGACAATATGAGAATGAAAACTAAAAAGTCACACGTTTCAACGCCACACATAAATTGAAGAAAAGAAAAACTAAGAGTTTCGCAACAACACAAGCAAAATATCTTTCTTCGATGAGTCGATTTCTAAAATATCACTGATTCTTTTTCACTAAAGCTGAAGTACACTCAAAAGCAAAAAAACAATCTAACTCGATTGTGTAGAAAAAAAAATAAAGAAAATTGCAAAACACTAGAAAAACTAACTTCATTTATCCATGAGAATATTTTTAATGTAAATAAACGATTAAAACGAGTATAAAAAGAACTAACAAGAAAAGTGCTTTTCAGAACATTTCCTTTACATTTCATAATTTATCATCATCCCAGTTGGGAGAAAACGGCCCGTAAACGGTCTGAAACTGCATAGAAAAAGATGTAAAACGTTAAAAAACGGCGCCGTTTTCTGTTAGCTCGGAAAACACAGAGAATAGTGTTAAAAGCGATGGCCGTTTTCTAGCAAAAAAACGGCCCGTAAAACGGGCTGATAGATTACGGCGAAATAGGGTGAACATTAATGCCGTTTTATGTCGTTTTCTAGTCGTTTCAGGCCGTTTCCGATGGCCTTTCAGACAGTCGGAATGGTCCTACTGGGATGCTACTTTCAGTTGTTCACGTCTGAGAAATCTTTCATAAAAGACAGTAGTGTCAAACTTGAAACTTGAAGTTCAAGTATTCAACTATTCAACTATCGAAGTATGTCTCTCTATGTGTGAGTCGTTTACTCCCCCAGTCCCTTCGCGGCACCCACACTTGGGTCGTGATGTGTGTGTGTCTGCATATGTGAGCCGTTTTCATCCCGAGTCCATTCGATCCTTGAATACTTGAAACAACTTTTCAATAATTGAATTCAAGTTTCAAGTTTGACGTATATGATAAAAGAAAAGCTTTTATGACGACACATACAGTGAAATGGCAATAGAAAGTGTATACAGAAAATGTGGGGAACATGTTATACTTCTAAGACATATGCAAGAAATTTTACATTTAACAATCAATTTTTGCGGCAGAACTATCGCAAAATTCACTATATTATCGTTTTGCATCTTTAAAAGGTCCTCTGTCAGTGACTGTAAGCCCTACAGCACTCAGTTGACGTTTGGCTCAAACACTTGCTGCTAGAATCGAATGAATTTGTTAACGTGTTTTCGAATAATAAGATGATGTATTGGTATTCGATATCCAAAACTTAGGAGTCAGGCCATGCTAAAATTTCTAAATGATGGGTAACATAGTTGAAAGTTCGATTAGTCGTTTATGTGTTAGAAAAGAAATTTCTTGAAAGCTTGTACTAACTTTTTTACATCTTGTGTATCCATTAGTATAGAAATTATACATATCTATTATATCATAAAACTTAGAGAAGTATGGCTCAACTATACTAATAATCGATATTAATATTCGATAATTATTAACATAAGTGAACTTTATTTGCTAGACGAAAGAACTGACCGTTGAAAAAAATTCATAACTGAAATGTAACAAATAGGATTCTATCAAAATGTATCGTTCCAATTTTCTTGATAATGAAAGTTTAATGAAAAATAATTTATAAGTTACTCGCTTCGTAGTGGTCCTATAATATTTCCTATAGTCGCCATTGTTTTTGAAAAATTGAAGATTGTTTTGACAAGGGTCATAAATTCCTTTAGAAAATGTGCTTTGCACGTATTGAATATATTGCTACTATACTTAGTGTCTATAACATCATTTTTCATTTTGACTATATTATACATTCAAATGTGTTGAATACAAGATTACTAATAATAATAATAATATTGAGAAAAGATATAGTTTATTTTATATAAAAACAAAACAAAACAGAGACCTTTTTATGTGATCATTATTCAATCTGATCGTGTTTATATGCTTATGTTGATGTATATATTGTGTAGAGCACTTTGAAATTAATGAAGGAGGAATTAATCTTGTTTTCTCTTTTTCTTTGTTA